GGCGGCCAGAGCTTGGGTCTCTCGGCCTGATGGTAGTATTGGAGGCTCTTATTCGCACTCCACAGGGGTCGGTCGCAGTCTCGTCCTCAACACTTCGGCAACGCACACGGTCTTCTCCTTCACGTCTATTGGCTTTGCCAGGGTGGGCGAACACGTTGATCTTGTCAGCCAGCGTGTCCACAAGCAGGCATAATCCTATCGATCAAGCTTGACCTGTCGCTACGGTCACTTACCGCTGCCGGACTTGACTTGTGCGATCGGGAGGAAAATCTGCTCTGTTTGTTGCGCACAAAGGCGCTTATCTATTCTTTCCTATGTTATATACAAATATCTAGTGTGAACTTGTCCGTTGTGGATGAGATCTTGTAACAAACGAGGTTGCGGCGACTGTTGGGCGAGGTCTCGAGGAGTCGCCATCCGTATACGACCAGTCGTGTCCAACGGCCAACCAGTGGTGTGCACCACACTGCCTCGTACTAATGATTGTCACTTCACTGCGGGATCTGATGGCCAATCAGCGATCGGCCACATATTTCACAAATCTGATCTGTGTCAGTCTCCAACGGCAGCAACAGCAGCGGCGAGGGCGCCTCCGATTCTGGGTGCTTCCCGACACCACAATCATCAGAGAGGCTCGCATCGAAGGCCGAAGCCGAGGGGCATCGTCGACAGGACAAGATCGATGTGGATGAGAAGGAAGATGCGCAAGAGTTCATCCTCTTGATCGGGGCTCTCTCGAAAAAGGATTAACCCCGGAGCGTTGGTGGCCTATAAGTTGCCAGGTTTTAAGGTTTTCACAGACTGGTAGCATTTACTTTCAGTTGTAGTGTAGTGTGCTTGCACTTCAAATACAAAGTCAGCTCTGAGAATACGAAGTTGCTTACAAATTTGGCACGAACGTGAGATTTATTCGCCAAGTTCCTCATCCCAAGACCATACGTTGCAACACTGCACTTGTTTTAGTGCACAGTAGTCTCCTGCTCCATCTCTCCACTGAACGTGGTGCAGATCTACGATATCACGACGGTGCGCACGCGGTAATTGGACATGCGAAAGATATTGTCGATACGCAGACCGCGGAGCTCAGGGTTGTATGGAGCGGGAGATTGAGGCGGCTGCTGCATGCTTCCCATGTCCCACTCTATGGACTGACGCACCGACGTTATGGCATGGTGTAGCGTACAAAGACCACTCCTCAAAGATGGCAGAATACGATCTATATCGCCGTCCTTGAGCGGTGTCAAAATACGACCTGTCAGCTCCGTAGAGCAAGGAAAGGCTGAATCGGACACGACGTTCATCCTCGAGACTGGGCAAAAC